TGCCTTCCGTCCCCCAGGCCGCCAGCGGACACCCCGCCTCCGCCTCATCGGCCGCTAGCCACAGATGGGAGACAGCCTCTTGGAGATGTGGCCCAAAAAGACCGTCTGAGCGGACGGGTCCTTCCAGTAAGCTCTTTTTTATCTGCTCTGGCAATTTTGACATATGCAGCCATATATTACGTTCACCATCGTAGCCCATGCTCTGATGCACACCGTCACTACGGCTGCAGCGGATGACAGTGCGAGTGCTGCGGCCATTGCTTTGCCGATCTCCTCTGCTGCCTCTGGAGGGAGGGCCCCGGGTTGAGCGGCGAGGGAGGACACGGGCGAGGGATGAAGAGAGGAGGGCGATGTTGTTGATCGCGGCTCCAGCCTGGAAGGCGCATTTGTGGATGTGGTCCGTGAGCCGAGCAGTGGCCTGGTCTCGGGGCACTGGAGGAGTGGGGCGCTGTTTGCCGAAGAACGCCGTCTTAGGGAGCAGGGTGGAGGAGATGCTGGTCTCCAGAGGTGGAACGGCAGGAAACCCCATATCGGTCATCCCCTCGACTCTGGTGAGTGCCTCATAGCGGGGGACTGGAGCCCGCAGGCACCCAGATCGTTCTCCTGCCTTGGAGAAGAGGGGCTGGATCGCTGGGAAACTGGGCCAGACAGGGGGAGGCTTACTCAGTTGCTCCGCTCTGTAGTAATTTCCCACCATATTCGAGGGGGTGGAAGGTGGTCAAGCCGCAGGAATGGGGATGGCCTTACGGCCCGCTGCCTTGGCGATAATGAACACCCGGGGAGCCGGCTACAGGGGCAAGCGGGTCATGGGACCCGGGCCCCCAGAACTCCAGGAACTCCAACGGGGCATCCGCCACGGGGCTGTCACCGCAAGAGGCCCAGGAGAGGCCGTCATCTGGGCCATTCTCCTTCATTACAGCGAAAGCATCCACTCTCCGCTGCTTGTTCGCTACCAGTAGGCAAGCACAGAAGGGGCAAGCAGCCTTGGGGGAGAGGGCCAGCTCTGCGTGCTCAGCGCCAAGACAGGCTTTGCAGCGAGGGCTCGCTGGGCAGGATGAAGCCCGTGTCGCAGCCGGGGCATACGGTGACAGAAGGGCAGCGCCGGCTTCCGCTAGAGGAGAAGAGTTGCTCTTTAGCCATAGTTGTGCTCTTATGAGAATGCTCTTTAGAACTGTTGAAGAAAAAGAGGGAGGCGAGCTTAGGTCACAGTGGCAGTCATACTGCTGCTGTGGACCTAATTGAGGACAGCTCAGTGCAGGGCACAGGGCGCGAAAGAATCTCTTCAGGACTGCGCATGCGCGAGGGATAAACCCAATAGCGACAGCTCTTAGAGGGCGAAGCCTATACGAAATAGAAGCCTGGGTTCTCACTTATTTTAATTTTGTTGAGAGAAGAGAGTACAGAGGAGAAAAGAGTACAAAAGGGAAGAGAGAGGTTTTGCAAACAGTACATGTACTGTACAGATCTAATTATGGCAGTTGATGAAAAGTCAATTTAAGACCAGTATTGTCTTTTTAATAATTACTGTCAGTGTAGTTTATATGATGTTCTGTGTTGATCAAGAAAATCCTCAGCTCAACCCATCCAGAGTGGGCCTCATCTTGGAAGAGAGTGTAGTGATGAATGAAGTGGCCAACCCACCTCAGCTCAGGCCTTCTGTGTCCTTTTTTGACTGTTGCATGTTCTGCACCTGGAATACCCCAAGTGCATGAAATACACTTTAAACTTTATTCAGCAGGTGATGCTCAAGCTGGGTAGAAGTGGGGCTGGCACCCAAAATTGAAACTTTGAAAAATCCACTTTCAGTGTAAAACAGTTTTGAATAGTTAAACTACTATTCCAGATATCAGTGCATAATTTGTAATGTTACACTTTTAACTGTTGTTGAACTGAAGAACACACAACAAATCTTCATAACCATTTGTGTGCGTACAGAATGTGCTACATTTCCATCACTGATGTGAGATCGGCTGATAGTTTTACCTGTTAATACGTGTCACTCTGAGATGTTCAAACTACAGAGAAACACCCAGTTCTCTCTGATTATTCAGTGGTGTTACAGTGATGCCTCCTTATCTCATAAACGATCTTCAGCTAACAGCACACAGCGTTGTCCGCCGGCAGCAGTGAGGTCACAAACCCACCAACAAGGAGTTTCATTTTGTGCTGTCATCAATTTAAGTCATGGAGTTAATGTTATTTAGCGACAGTTGGTACAGCCTCGCTGGTTGTCATTTTAACCAGCAACGATAAGTAGAAGCTGCTTTCTGAACCATTTCCACACTGAGTTTTGTAGGTGTTATTGGGACACCTGTGCGACGAGGTGAATATTTAAATACTAACATTGAAAGCCGATTACTTAGCCAACGAACGGATATTTTGGTCCAGTCCTACATTGCTCTATGGAAACACTTCAGCAAAGGGTGATTATGTTGCTGTGAGTAAATTTAGAGGGCTGAAAACCACAACATTGCTACCGTGTGTCCTCCTCTCTCCCTATGCTCATGTGTTTCATGTCACAGGAAGATGAAATAACGATAATCCCGCGAGGCATCTGTACCACAGGATGTTTGGACAACGTCACCATGGAGACCCCCTCCCTCGCTTTTGCCACTACGGTTGCTCTAGAAACGAAGCATAGCCCAGCTAGCTAACGTTGGCAAGCTGAAGACAGTAACATTAGTCGGTCATGTAGATTTTGTTATCGTTAGTTTTTAAAATGGTAAGTACACATTTTTGATTGCGATGCAGTAGTGCGGACACACGATACGATACCAGCAGAAGCCTAGGTGAACTAGCCCTTGAAAGGACAATTGTTTGCTAATGTTAGCATAGTACCTGTAGGATACCACAGGATATCAATTACGTTAGCTAATGTTATCAACTTGCAGATCTATAGTTATAGGTTTTATCAGTATTTAGTATTTTGTGGTATCCACACGAACTAACACAACTTATAGGAAGCTTTACAACAGCGGCATTTGGTGGTGAATAACAATTAGTATAGGTGCACATTAGCTAACTATTAGCTACGTTAAAGTGTGACGTTAGTTCTCATTCAGCCCAATTTAGTGCCAAATGTTACTGATTGTCATTGTAACGTTAACATAAAGTGTTTTGCTGCAATACCGCGTTTATATTGAGATAACTTGTTTTTAATTTATTTAGAATGCCCATGTTTTGTATGTTAGGTTAATGTACGATGGGCCAGTACATCTGGGTTTCAGTATAAATGGAACCAAAGATATTATAACCTAGCCTAGCGTTAACTACACACAAACGTACAGTGATGCGTTGAAAGAGAGGACCAATGGCAGCAAACACAATTTGTACTTGCTGTAAGTGTCCTACATAAAGTCACTGAATCTGGGGCACTTGGTCACAGTGGTAAAGCTAAACAAGACAAAGCATCAAAAATGTTTCCAGTGTGTTGTGAATCTGTATGTGCTAGACAAAATCCTGGATATTTTGCTTCATAAGATCATCTTATTCAATACATTGTTGTAGAGCAGAAGAGAGAGGTTGTTTATTTTATTTGCCTACTGTGTCAGGGCCACAGGGGCTGGATTATTCAAGTTAATGATGTTCAGATGACAAGAAAGCACCTTGAACATATCCTCCACAGGCACAAATGCAGATGACAAGAAAGCACCTTGAACATATCCTCCACAGGCACAAACGCAGTCACACTAGGGTCAGCATACAACCTTCTATTCACCTGACTTGTGTGAAACTAGAGATGCCTGCACAGAAAGTACTGGAAGTCAACCACAGGCCTCTGTTGCTATAAGGTTACATTTCAGGTTACACATGAACTTTAGCTAATCATTTATTTGTGTTGTGGGCTGTATTTTGAACTCCTAATTCTTTTTGGTTGACAAAATGGATAGATACAGATCTGTAATGTATCTTAAGTACTGATATTAGATCATTCTGTTGTCACATATTTGTTAGTGCAGTCACAGTTTTTAAGTAAACTTCTGTGCCAACAGGAAATGTTCATTAACCTTTAAAACCGAGTTTGTAAGAACCCAGACTTGTTAAAGAAGGAAAACCTACCTACCACAGCCAGTCTGGCCCATTTAAATGATCATACTAGTGTTTTTGGATGCTTTAAGTCAACTTGCAAAAACTAAAAAACTTTCTTTAGGTTTGGCAGGCCAACACAATTAACATAATTTATTTGGATTGCAGCATTACATTTAGACAATAACATAACTTTGACAAAAGTAGATGGAGACTTATTGTAGACACGGTGTTGGACTACCCATCTCACGTATGATTCAAGTCACTGCAACAGCTACTGAATTAAAGTTGGTAGACTCGTTCAGAAGTCTGAAACACTAATGCATGCACTGACAAGCACTTTACTGTATCTGTAATATACACTAATACATATATAAGAGTTGTACTAAATGAGCTAAACATTCAAAACTACTGCAGTGGCCTTTACCTTATAAACTTAAAGGACTGATATACAGGTGCTGCAACAAAGATGGACCTAATGACCTTGAGAGAATTGTTATATAAACATAAATTGTTTGGATTCATATTAATCACTATTTTCCTTGTTATGACTTAAGATTATTATGAAAATATTTGGGTCTGATTGTACAAATAATACCTTCTTGATCTTTTAAACCTCAGTATAAACTGAGCTGTTTCATTAATTTGCCTCATTGCTCTGATCTGTTCCCTGACTTCATCAGGATGATCGCTACGCCTTTCTTACTGAGTGGTATGACCCTACTGCGTCTCTCCTGCGGCAGTACCAACTCTTCTACTACCCTAAAGATGGCTCAGTGGAAATGGTAAACATTTACTACTGTAGTTACTGTAATTTTTAACAATTAGCTTATGAATTTTATTTTAGTTGTTACACTGGCTGGTGCTGCTTACAAAGGAAAGGCTATTGTAATTAGCATTTATCAACTTTTGATCCTCTAAATCAAAAATATTTCAGGAGAATTCTGTTTACATACTTTTTATGATGTAAATTTCAGTGTTTCTATGCAAACAGCCATTTACCTTTGCAGCACAGATGGTATACTCCCTGTGATATGTGCCACAGAAATCACTAACTGCTTAAATCTGCAAACTACCAACTGTTAATTCTGATACAAGTATCTTTTTATTTTCAGTTTGATGTAAAGAACCAGCGAATATTTTTGAGAAGGACCAAATATGACAACCTTCATCAGGAGGACCTGTTTATTGGGAATCGGGTGAATGTGTTCTCGCGGCAGCTTCATCTGATTGAATATGGGGATCAATACACAGCAAACAAACTTGGCAGCAAAAAAGAAAGGTATGATTGGTTAGGTTGAGCTATAAATCAGCATTATCCTCACTAGTTACTTGCCTTGTAGGTTTACTGCACCTTCTAGTAGGACCCTGTAAATGTGGCTCTTAATATGTATTTGAACTTTATTTTTATATATACAGTGTTTTATCTTAATTTATTTTGTGCCAGATAGCTCATGGACAATATACACTACTACACATTGTACACAATCCTCACATTGGTAAGGCATTATGGTGAGTGAAATTAGTAGTGATTTCTTAATTTGCCTTAATATGTTGTGGTAAATTGCTATCTAATCTACATTGTCTGTCCTGGTGCTTATTATTGACAGTGATTTTACATTTATCAAGCAGCGTCTGCTGGAAAATAGATTTCTGTTGTGATTTGTTGTGTAAATCAAACAATATTATCTCAGTTCTATGTTTGAATAACTTGAGAACACCAAGTTAATTAATGTATCACACTTTGCTCCTGTTAGCATTATGACAGGATGCTTTTCAAAATTTTCCAGATCTGGTTCCAGTGAGATATTGAACTTTTTGGCTATAACATCAAGAAAACACATTTATTTTATTTGATTTGGCTATTTATTTTTATATAAAATAAGCAATTAGACCGCGATTAAATTAAATACTTTTAACAAAACAAAGATATAAATCACACAATATCTGACAAATAAGTACACAGGAATGTACTATAGCCACAGTTTGCCTTTGAACTCATACAGTGCATGTTGAGGTACTGTACTTAAACACTTAACACACACCAGTGTACAGTGTTTCTGTTATGGTGTCTGGTCTTTCTAAGTTGTCTCCTGTAATATCGTATATGGTAATTTAACATCCTGTGTTTTTAATTTTGTTTTATCAGAACCCTTGCTTTGATAAAGCCAGATGTAGTTGCCAAGATCGGAGATGTCCTTGAATTGATGTACTCCTCCAACCTGATGGTGACCAAAGCCACAATGACAAAGCTCACATGGTAAGGTCAAAGCCTCTCTGCTGGGTGTCTAATAAAGTCACACTCTGGTAATGGATTAGACAAACTCTTATCAAAGAGGGAGACACAGGAGGTTTCATGCCAGTATCCTCACATGAACAGATGGGTGGCTTTGCTTTCTCACACACTTTAGGAACATATGGCTTGTCAAGGGACAGGTAAGGTTAGCATTTAATTAACTACTAACTGTTTTATTAGGCGACAGTAAGAACCAGTGTACAATTCTTTCCAGAATATTCCCGGGAAATTAGGCCAACAGGACAATATGCATCCATAAAATCTTAGCATTTATATTAGCCAATTTCAAGGTCAAAGTGCTGTCTCAAAACCAGGAATGCAATTCTGTTGGAAAAATACTGAATCCTAGTGGGGAAAATACTGGGTCTAAAATGACTTGTTTAAATGTTCAAGTTCTTAAGTGTAGCATAAAAGCAGGCCTGGGTTACTAAACCCCCATAATTTACCTCCAAAATCCAAGGACCTTAGTGTTCTAAGTGGTAGTGGAAAATTTATTTTAGTACTGTCACCTCAGAACCATTGTTTTTGTTTTTGTTTTTTTTCTCCAAACTATTAAGAAGGTAAAATATTACACATCAAAATGGCCCAGCTCCACAGAAATATTTTTGACCTCTGTAAATGTCTTTGGCAGTAATTTGGTATACATGGTTTCCACTGAATATGCGAGATAATTAAGTAATTCATTAACACTGTAGTTTGTGGTTTTCTTTAATTACAGGAGCCAAGCGGCAGACTTTTATGTGGAACATCAGTCGAAGCCTTTCTTCAAGTGAGTGTGTGTGAATGATTTGCTAGTTTTGAGCAGGTATGAACAGCAATAGAAAATGTCTCGTAGCCAGCCACTGTCATTAACAGAACCTGTGACATTGGTCCTAATGACTTAGCAGTGACATCTGAACACATTTAATGCTGTTGACCTAGTGCTGTTAGGTATTTGATTTTAATGAATGCTCCATTTCTGCAGTAATCTGGTGCAGTTTGTGTCCTCGGGTCCCGTGATAGCCATGGAGCTGATGGGTGATGAGGCCGTGTCAATCTGGAAGAAGCTTCTGGGACCTGCAGACTCTGCTGTGGCACGGAGGGAGGCACAGCAGAGTGTCCGTGCCCAGTTTGGAACAGATGGTATCAAAAATGTTGGCCATGGCTCCGACTCACTTGCTGCAGCAGCAAGAGTAAGTATGTTAAGCCTTATTCATGTTCATATGTGCCCTTGAAGCCCATAGTCCACACCCCCAGAAGTAGTTATCTATATAGAATTTTCTTTTTGCTGCTTCTTTGTTGTATTAGGAACTTGAATTTTTTTTCCCATCTACAATTGGCCATGGTCCTTCTAATACAGCCATCTTTACAGACTGCACCTGCTGCATCATCAAACCTCATGCCATATCAGAAGGTAAGGAGCACATGTCTACCTACAGTATCTGCAGCTAAATATTATCTTCATCCTCTGATAGACTGGCGACCTCTCCAGAGTGTACCCCACCTCTTGCCCAATGTCAGCTGGGATTGCCCCTGCCCCACACACACAGACATACACCCACACCCACCCCATTCAGGAATAAGTGGTACAGATAATGCATGGATGGATTATCTTCATTGTACATAATCTACTATTTATTTATGTGCCGACCCACTCTCTGCCTCTTGATACACACACTAAACAGCTGCAGATGCAGTGGTTATGAAAAGAATTCCACTAATTTGTGTTACTCCTTCCACCTGGCCATTAATGTGCTTGTGTCACACACACAGACACTACATGATTACCAAATTTATCTGTGGATTTTTCCAAATCCTTGCCCTGATCCCTGTTCATGGAGCATGCCACTAGCGCACTGACCTGTAAAATGTGAAATTCTCTGGCCAGAGCTAAAGTATACACATGGCAGGCTGCTGACTGGACTGGTTGTTCAGGACATGTTAGATCAGACACAGTTCATTAGGCTCACCATGCTCACATTTAACTTTATCTGATTTATGTTTCTGATTTGATCTCTGCTGCTTTTCCTCAGAGGTGATTTGGTTGCTATGGAATTTAAACTAAGTTTATATTTATTCTCTGGATATACAGTACTTGTGTTTTCTCTTTCTCTTGTGTTTACTACTTTTCAAAAACACTTGTTTACATCACTTCATGTGACTTTCTTTTGGACAAATATCAGCTGAGTATTGAAAGCTGAGATGACTTTTTGTTTTAGGAGATGCTCATCCTACCTTGAAACCCAATTATTGTGCACAACTTCAAAAATGATGTACCCAAAATAAAAAGGTTTTTTTTTTTTTTACCCTTTTGAGTAAGGTCATAACCTTTGTCTCATTTGAAAAGCAAAGGGATTAGGCACAACCAAAACTGCTATAGTATATAGTATAGTAAAACTGTCCAGTTTTTTAAAATGTCATCTTTAACCCCCCAGTGTATCTACATTATGCTGCTTGTTGCCATGACTTTCTGCCACACCTAAATGGAGTGGAGCTATCATTAATGATATTACTGTAGTTGCAGCTGTGCCTTTCCTGCTTTGACAAATTTAAATGACTGGCACAAGTCTATGAGAGATACTGTACATTTAAAAAAGACCTACACAGGTATGGGCTTTGTTTTGCTACAGGGCATAACTGACAACTGAGCAACAGTTGAATTCAAAACCAGCTACAGTATTAAGTTCCTCTCAATCACAAAGTGTTGATATATATGCATCCATCCATTTATTATCTACACCACTTTTTCCCGAATAGGGTTGACATTGGGCGAGAGGCAGGGTCATTTAGTCCTTAAAATGTTGTCTAAGTCCTCCTGAACTACCCAGAAAACTCCATTTCTGAATAAAGCTGAGGTGTGAAACATTTACAGTATATCTACAATACCTCTTTTGAACAGTTTGTCACAAGTTGCATGAGTTGAGAGCAGCAGTAGTTGTTGTCATCACCAGAGTCATGACAATACTTTGTTGACTGACTGACTTCTCTCTGCCAGACTGTTGATTTTCAGCCTTGATTTATCCAAACCATCCTGTAGAAAGTTTGCAAGTATTGTAGCAGCAACTATATACATTATAGTGCTGGTTTTGTGAGAGATTATGATTCACATATTCAGATCTTTGGTTTGCAGTTGGGGACAGTGGTGTGGTGGGTAGGGCAGTCGTCTCCCAACCGGAAAGTTGAAGGTTCAAATCTCGGTGCCTGCAGTCCACATGTCGAAGTGTCCTTGTGCAAGACGCTGAACCCCCCAAGTTGGCCGTGATGGCGGTGCGTATGCACGCAGCGGCCCAGGGCCCTCGGCTCCAAACAAAATTTCGTTGTACATGTCACAGTATTACAGCCCAAACTGTGGTTGTCAGTTTAAAGACAAATTGAATAAAACAGCTTGCTTTGATTTCCCTTGAGGATCACTTGGGGGGCTAATGCACATTACTTCTATGTGTACAGCCAATCATAGAGGTAACAAATGAAGTTTTGACTGAAAATGAACTCAGACATGACTAGAATAGAGAAGCTTCTGTTGCCAGGCACCCAGAATAGGATCTCCTAGCAACAGCACCAGCTGCTTTAAGTGTGTGCTTATCCCAGGCAGGCGCTGGCTGCTGCCTGGGGAGGGCACTGAGGACTCGGGAGTTGGTTACTTACCTAATACACACATAACTGGACTGTGACTGAACAATTACCCAGATAAGGAAGAAATGTAGCAGCACTGGTGTAGTGCCTTGTCCAAACTGAAAGTCGGGATTGGACATAGCATGCAGAACTAATAGAAAATGTATACACCTAGTGTCCTGACAAGTACACAGGACAGTTTTTATCAGGATGTCAGACTGAGATTATGACACTGGCGCCCTCTTTCAATTATGTGTCTGCAGCAGTCTGACCTTCAGTCTCACTGTAGCACCTTTTGTCACTGTGGCTGAACAATTTTTACAGTCAGGATGACAAGAGGTGCAGCTCTGTATTTGAAAAGTGTTAACTGTCTGGACAAAAATATCTGCCCTCCTCTAATACTTTGTCTGCACTTTGTCCAGAGGAGACACTGGACAATCTAAGGTAGTTGCAACATAAAATAACATTAATGTTTCAACAGGAACATTACAATGGCTTCTTTACAACACAGCACACTCAAGTCATTTAATAAAAACAATGATATTTGTTTGGTGATGTGAACCTAAATATGCATGCTGCTCCAGAGATTATTTGCTTAGAATTGCATTGAAGAGTTTCTTGTGGTATTAAAGCATGGATAAATATCAGCTTTGATGTGTTCACAGGCCTAACTGGGAAGATCCTAAACTCCATATCTTCAGCTGGATTTGAAATCTCAGCCCTTCAGATGGTAAAGTTGAACAAATTATTTTCCTGCCCTTATGCTTTAGTCTTGTAGAGTTGGTCACACACACACACTGTACTTGATATGCTAAATCATAGATTACTGAATATTGGGTTGTCTGACCAAGATCCCAGCTGGTTCTCAAATTATTTGTCTTGTAGAACTTCATGTGTGACAGTCTGTTGTTCCACTTGGCTTCTTGTTCTAAATGTAGTTCCTCAAGGCTCTGTGTTTGAGCCAATATTGTTTTCTCTTTATATACTGTAAACAACATAGGAGTGAACATTGATGGGATTCACACTCATTGTTATGCTGATGATAAAGTAATATACAGCTATGTCCCATCAATCACAGAGGCACTTCATAAGCTGCAAGATGGGTTCAGCACTGTTCAGTTGCACCTTGGTGAACTTAAGCATGTTAAAACTGTTAAAACCAAGGTTATGAAGTTCTCAAAGTCAAGAAAAAGTTCAAGCACTATTGACATTGTAACAAGTCATGGTAAGAAAATAGATGTCCCATCTTACAAATGCTGTTTGGATTGATGAATGCCTCTCCTTTAAAAATCATGTTAATCAACTTGGAAAGAAACTGAAATCAAAACTGGGGTTTTATTTCAGACATAAATCATGCTTTCCTTTGAAAGTCAGGAAAAGGTTTGTGGCTGCCACTTTCCTGACAGTCCTGGACCATGGTGACTTGCTATACATGAATGCTCCAGCACAATCCCTTCACAAGCTAGATACTGTCTATCATAGTGTACTAAGATTTGAATCGTGACTAATTTAAAACCACTAACGAATCATTGTGATCTGTATTCCAAAGCTGGTTGGTACATTTTCATTTACAAAGCTATTTTGTATCAATTACCCTCATACCTCTGCAAATTAATCACAAGACTCTCATGTGTATATTAATTATAGGATATGTTCCTGGTGCCTTGAGATAGGCAAGGAAGCCTTTCATTGTGTTTACAGTTTTACATGTAAATTAGTTTTCTCACATGCCCATACATCTTAGCTAAACCCATGTAACCAGTATATGTACTGTGCTGACTTTCTCTTATCCAGCCTGAAATCATAATTGAATTGAGCATCACTGTTGCAAACAGTGACCCATCACAGCCCTTTTTTTTTTTTTGTTGTTGTTTTTTTTGTTTTTTTTTTTTAGAATGTCATTTACTGTAGCTGCTTTTCATGACTAATATTTCCTTTTCACAGTTCAATGTAGACCGGGCGAATGCAGAAGAATTCTATGAAGTTTACAAAGGTGTTGTTACGGAGTATCCTGTGAGTATTCATGGTACATTGTTGTACCATCATACAAAATACCTACATTGAAATCTTGCCAATTGTTACATTTGAAAATGGCAATAATACAAACATTGCCTTATCTGTTGCCAGATCTAGAATAGTGACAAAAGATGTAACAAATAAATGAAGTTGAGCTGTGTATTATCATTATCAGTATAATTTGAGTAAAAAGAAGTCATTCATTATTAAAATTTTGAGTGTATTTCTACTCACTCCTTACAGAGTATGGTGACCGAGCTGTGTTCTGGACCCTGTATGGTACTCGAGATCCATGGCACAGACGCACCCAGGGCATTCAGGGAATTCTGTGGGCCCGCTGATCCAGTGAGTGAAATATTATTAAAAATTCTCTCCTGTTTCCTCCTTATATTCTGTGCCAGAAGCCTAGTGACTAGTGAAATGTCAAAGCCATGAGGTGAAACTCAAATGCTAATGATCAATCACTCTCATCTTGAATGGAGATTTTCAAATGCTTGTGTTGTCAAAGATGGAAACTAAAACATTTTCACACATAACGGACACTGAATATAACATCATCTGTTTTAAGGCTTTCATATGGTGTATTTTTGAGTTTTGAATGGGAATACAGCCAAATATGTGGCACTCCCTCTGTCTTGTGGCCTTGTATAAGCCATGCTAAATCATCTGACCCTTGTTTTTACTATCTAGCCTGAGATACATCAGCCTAGAGGTCATTTTATTCTGGCAGCTAGAAGCCAGATGTAAAAGTGAATGAGTAGTTCCATGCTTTTTATTGACATTGAGCCTAATATTTTTACCATGAAAAGTAACATACATACATACATACACCTGTTGGTTTGAAGAATCCTGAATCAGGCAACAAATTTGTGGGGAACTAGAGAAAGTTTTTTAAATCATTTTTTAGTGTACATTGTCTAGAGTTTGTGGCTTACAGTATGCAATTTGATAAACATCGTGGCCTGTGAAACACACCTGAGTGTTTATGTGTAAGTCAACTCATCCACTTGCATGGATGTTTCTGGATCCTCTGGAACCAGTGGTGCAAGGCTACACTAGTGGGTGATGTCAACTCTAATTGTAAGACACTCTGCCTTCAGCCACTGTTTATCATAAAACATGAGGCACTATACTACAGAGCCCAGGAGGGGACATAGGAAGGGAAAAATCTGACTTTGTGAGATCTCGCTAAGCTTTTGCAGGAACCAGCAATACTTTTGTGAGATCCCGCTACATTTTTCTTTTGCAATGCTTTTGCCAATGTACTGCAAGGTCAAAGTCAAACATCGATTTTTTTTTTTTCTCCCCCCCTCCTGTGTCCTCTCCTGGGCTCCATACTGTACACCCTGAATAATTGCCCTACAATTTCCTCTGTCCCTGGCTTTTTTTACTGTTTACTCACTTTGTGTGTTAGACATTCTGTAATTAACCTTCAGGGAATATTGTCCTCTAGTTACTCAATCATCATTCTCTCGGGCTGATAATAAAAATGAGTGGCCAAACCTGGGCAATTTACCTGGGTGATATATTGTGATGTCTTTGTGCTTTGGTTACTTAACACTTAATGTAAACTTAAAATTTTTTTGTAATCATAGCACGTCTATTAATAGTTAAAGGCCACTTGCTTGTGGCAAGAGCAGATTATTGATATATTCCAGTTATGTGTGAATAAACACTGTATGGCTGAATGACTGGATGAAACTGACCTCAAACACACTTTTTCTTATTAGAGTTAATGATTGATCAGTTCATTTCAGTTTAATCCATTAGAGAAGAGAGAAGAAAAATCAAAATATACAACCCCGAATCTTAAAAAGTTGGGATGATATGTAAAATCAAAATTAAAGCTTAAAATAGTGACGTGTAAATCATCTGTGTCCTGTATTACATAAACAATACAGCAGCACATTATTTGATGTGATACCTCATCAATTTTATTTTTTGTTCAAAATAAACACTTTAATCCTGATGCCTGCAACACATTCCAAACAAAGTTGGGACGGTTGCATTTCAGAGCCAGTAATGAGGTAAAACAATGAACTGATGATTCCATGTGAAACAGGTGATGTCAACAGGTGACTGAATCATGATTTGGTAAAAAAAAAAAAAAAAAAGGCATCCAGGAAAGGCTGAGCTCTTTATGAGCAAAGATGGGCCAAGGACCACCAGTTTGCCAACATATGTGTGAGAAAATTATTGAAATGTTTAAAAACGATGTTCCTCAAAGAAAGATAGGAAGGGATTTGGATATGTCACCCTCTATGGTGCATAACATAATCAAAAGATTCAAGGAATCTGGAGGGTTTTTAGTGCGTAAGGGGCAAAGGGCGCAAGCCTAAGCAGGATAACCGTGCTCTCTGATCCCTCAGACGGC